ACCTGTGCAGGGCCTCAAGGGCTTCTGGTAGCACCAAGCTCAGAGCAAATTCACTCTACACGGCTTCATGTGCAAATTAACCGAGTAGGCAGCGAGGTGCCATGACAGGGTGCAAGGAATCAGTGGCTCCTACCAGATTCCTGGAGATAGCGGCTCTGCCCAGACAGTCTCCGGTCTCTGTGTCCCACTTGCACACGGTGTTGTCTCGTGAACCTGTGCACAGCTGGGAGGCATCTGTGACCAGATGATAACATAAAAGAAAAGTCAAGAAAAGTTGTCAAGAAATCCCTGGGGAATGGGGGCGTGTTGTCCCTCACCCGGGCTCACAGCCAGTCCAGTAACAACCAGGTCGTGTCCTGAGAAGTGCTGGCTTGGCCCCGAAGTCCCACGAAGCTCCCACATCATCACCATCTTGTCCCGGGATGCGCTGAAGACTCTGCTTGAGTCAAGGGCAGAGGTGACCTGCCAAGGACAAGATCATAGAATCACAGAATGCTTTGGGATGGAAGGGACCACTAAAGGCCATCCAGTCCATCCCCCTGCCATGGGCAGGGACAGCTTCAACCAGATCAGGTTGCTCGGAGCCCCGTCCAGCCTGGCCTTGAATGTTTCCAAGGATGGGGCATCTCCCACCTCTCTGGGCAACCCCTTCCAGTGTCTCACCACCCTCATTGTAAAAAATTTCTTCCTTATATCCAGTCTGAATCTCTCCTCTTTTACTTTAAAACCATCACCCCTTGTCCTATTGCTACAGGCCCTGCTAAAAAGCCTGTCCCCATCTTTCTTATAAGCCCCCTTTAAGTACTGAAAGGCGGCAAGGAGGTCTCCCCGCAGCCTTCTCTGCTCCAGGCTGAACACCCCCAGCTCTCTCAGCCTGTCCTCTCTCCGAGTAGCGTGTTTGGCTTTGTAATCAGGATGCCAGAAGGAAAATTAAAGCCCCGCTGTTCCCAGGCATGGCTGATTTGTAGAATAACGACGAGTCTAGTGGAATGAGACCTGAAGAAAAGTGAATGGCATCTCTGAATCAAAACCTTGACCTAGTAATTCATCCTGAGTTTTTGCTACACAGTCTCTTGGAGGGGAAGATAAGCACATGTCCAAGCCTCCTGGAGCCCTGTTTAGGCTGGCTGCAACCACTCCGTGCTGCTTCCCTGGACAGCAAAGTATCAGCTGGGACCTTGGGAAAAACGGAATGCATTCTGATACCCCGGTCCCTCTTTCTGACGGAGCAAAACGAGCCCTCTGTGGATGACAAACCATCGCTCCATCGTTCCTGGTTCCCCAGTTTCTGACAGGTACAGGAGACCCCACCGCACTCGCTCAGCTGTCGCTCACCTTGGTGACCTCCCGCTCGTGCCCGACGAACCGCCGCAGCGCAGCCCCAGATCTCCAGCTGCAAACAGCCACACTCTGCGGAGGAGCAGGGAGCGGCAATCAGCAGGAGAGCAGGTGAAGGAGGATTGTGCACGTTCTTGGTTATGTTACACCGAGACCTCTGCACAGTCCAAGCTTGGAGAGGGAACGGGTTCTTCTGGTTTTGAGCTCCTACAGCACATACAACTGCCTCTAGAGCCCATCCATTGCCATGTAACATGAGAGAGGGGCCAGTCCAGTGATTCCAAGCCTGGGTGAGAGCGTTTGATGTGCTCTGAGCTCTGGAGAGGTTATAAAATTTGATTCAATGTGTGCCCTCACTCATGAGTGTGCCTCACTCATCTCTTCTTTCTAAATTCAGGAACTGGTGTAGTTGTTACTATTCACAGAAATATTTAAAGCTTATATTTAAACCTTATTTTCCTAACCTGTCAATACATTTTCCTGCCTGTGAGTGCTTTCTGCCCCGTGGCGGGGGGTACCTCACCTTATCCCGTCCTCCCGACAGACACAGGTCTGGTTTGAGAGCAGCCACAGAAGTGACAGCACCGGTGTGCGCGGGGCCATGCTGCTGAACGGCTCGAACAGGTCCTGCCTCTTCCTCGGAGCCATCGGCCCTGCAGCAGGCAGAGAGACAGCGGCGGGAGCTGCAGGGTGCTTTAAGGCCAAGTCAGGGTGCTGTTGCCCCATGAGACCGAGGTCTGGGAGGTGGCACCACGGGCTGGGCTGGAGAGTGACAACATCTGCCTTTAGAAAGCCGAAGAGAAGCTGTGAATGGACAAATGCATCTCCTGGACTAGGTGAGATGGAGCAGACCTATTCCACCTCTAGAGCTGCTAAATATTTTGATGCTTACCCGCTCTATGCTGCTGCAAAGAAGAAAAGAAATGTTGATCTTACCAGCCTCCACTTCCACTAACACCTTTCAGGCTCTGCTGCTCTCCTTTGCTCTGACGCCGGCCTTGCCAAGCACGTCGAGGCCCCCCTGCTGCCACGTCGATGTCCCCCTGCTGCCACGTCGAGGCCCCCCCTGCTGCCACCCTGCACTCTCAGCTGATCTCCAGGCAGAGATCACCCACCTTGCTGCCAGATACCGAATTATTTCTGATGAAAGCTGATGACAGCCTCTGAAGAGACAATGAAGCAGCTTGGATATTTGGAGCAAACAGCCAGCCCTGGAGCTGTTAGCCATCACAGCTCTGCCTTAGCCATCACAGAGCACATCCACTGGCCACATTTACATGCTGGGCTACATTTTGGATTTCAGTCCCCCAAAGAAGCTGAGCAGACTTTAGAAGTGAAGGTCAAAAATGAAAATCTGATTCATACATTCAATAATGAAACTAAAACCCCGTGCTTGCTATATTCTCTGTTCATTTGCTGTTCTCTATTCACTCTCATAACTGGTTTATTAACTTAAGACATGATCATCTGGGGGTGTTTTACCTATATTTGGAGGTGTGGAAGCTGATTTTACTCTGCAGTTTCCCCATAGCCCTGCCGACGAGCACGGCTCCCACTATGGCCAGCAACGGTGAGCATCACATCGGCATCTCAGGCACCTACTGCTGGGACATGACCTGTGGGTGAGAAGACACAGCATTACTGGGAATCGAGAGAGGTTTCTGTTTGTTACATATCTGGGATAAGGTGCTGATAACACGTTATCTACATCTTAACTTCATTCAGAATAAGAGGAAACCCTCAGAGGAGGGGACATGTGGAGCTCCCTAGTCAAACCTTTTGCTTAGAGCAGAGCTTCAGAGGTGAGGTTACTGGGACTTTACAGCTGAGCTTCAAAAATATCCAAGCTTGGTGAGGCCACGATAGAGATGGAGCTGCTGCCTGTAATTCTTCTAGCACCTTACGCTTCCTCTTACTCCAGTATCTGCTCTTGACTTCCATATTTCCTGGAGATCCCAATCTCTAGCCTGGTGAATGCAAACGCCTTCAGACTGCAGTTCATACAGCCCGCTGGTGGGACTGTGTCTTCAGACCAAGATAACCGCAGCCACCAGCAGCCCAAACTTAACTGGACCAGCCTGACTTAACGTAAAGCTTGAAGTGGTCTTTCCATAGGCTGAGGAATGCTTTGGGAACAGCAGCTTCTATGTCCAAACTCCAGCGCCGGGTCCAGGCTAGACAAGACCACCTTGATAATCCAGATGCATTCAGCAAAAAAATCCTTGCTGTCCGGGCTGAGCCCAGCCTGCCCCACCCCAGGCATCCCTCGCAAGCAGCACCTCGACGGCCAGTCCCCGCAGGGGCAGCGTCCAGGTGGAGGAGCCTTTGGCGGAGCGGGGCTCGGGCCACGGCAGCATCTCTGCCTCTTACCCTCGCGGGTCAGGGACTGAGCAGAACCCAGTTTCAATGACAGTGAATGACTTCTTCTTAGCTCAAGACATGCTAATTGGATTTAGTCTGCACTAGGTGTATGTTAGCATTCCCGTCCTCTGGGTCAGTAGTATTTTGCTAATAAAAATCAGACAAAAAACCCCACCTGCTGGTTCCAGCAAAGAAAAAACCTGCTTCAAGGCTCTACCCACAAAAACCTGAAAACCCGATACTGGAAGCACTAAGCAAGAGGGTCTGGGTTTCTACAAAACATTCCCTTTCTAATTTTACCCTGACAGCCTTTGTGATCAGCAATTTGTAATACCCAGTTAATCTCCACCTGTTCTATCCATGAGTTTGCCTGTTCAAAAGATGTGAAGAATGATAAATCTCACAGCTGAGGGGCAGCGATAATTCAGCAATTTACTTCTTTCAGTCAGACCGAGTGAGCAAATCATTAGGAACAAGCGTGATTTTTCTTTGACAACGGGAGAACTCTGGAAGTTGTTTCTCCTGCAGAACAAGATTCTAGGAAAAAGCTAAGACATAAATTCTGATTTTTTAATTACGATGATTACTATGTTTCCCAACCAGCAGTCAGTTTCCCACTCGTGGTTCATGTCCAGGTGCAATCGTCCCTACCCGCACATCAGCTCAAACTGAGCTGGATGAAGGCGGAGAGGCTGCAGGGAAAGCGGGAGCTCTGCCTGGCACCTAACTGCGTTCTCCTGCCTCCTGCCCGCTGCAAAAAAGAGTAGATTTGTCTGACCCCTGAACGAGGGCAGCAGTTGCTGGGCAGGGTGTTCATCTGAGGTTTTCCTATCTGGCAGGCTTCCCTACGAGTTTATCGGGATCCCGGTCCCTCACAAAGCTCTCCAACGACACAGGGATCCTGCAGCAACCGATCCATACAAAGCTACACCTCCAGAAGACTGAATTTCACGCTGGAGGATCTCCTACCCTCCCTTCCCCCCGAATGCATTGCTTAACAGAAATCAAAACCATTTTTTTACTAAATTGTTTTTAAAAAATAACCCAGGCTGCTGCCTAAGGCTGTTCAGGCACTGCAGTGAGATCCGTACCATGGAATAAGGAAACCACAATACCCACAGCAGCGGGCCCAGAAATCACAGTGGAGCTTTCTCCCCATTTTCATGGGGTGTTAAATATCCTTTAGAAGAGGGGTGTTGAACCATCTGTGGGGAGGACACAGGGGCAGCCCCGAGTCCCTATAGCTGGGGTGACCCCACGGCAACGATGTGGGTCCCTGTAGCCGCGGTGACCCCACGGCAATGCTGCGGGTCCCTGTAGCCAGGGGTGACCCCACGGCAATGCTGCGGGTCCCTGTAGCCGGGGGTGACCCCACGGCAACGCTGCGGGTCCCTGTAGCCAGGGGGGACCCCACGGCAATGCTGCGGGGCCCGGTAGGCGGGTTGAGCCCGAGGCGCGGGGCCGG